CTTCTTTATTTATTTATATATAAAACTTATTATTATTAATAATAATAATAAGGTATAAGGTAATTTATTAATAGTCTTTAGGTATAAAGATACCTTAGTTAAAAAAGAAGTTATAAAAAATTAATAGTAGTGTTTTACTAGTAGTACTAAAGAAGGTTTTATTTTATTTATTAAAGTAGTATTAAAAGTCCTTCTAGAGCTTATAACCTATAAAGATATATTTAGCTTATTTAGCTATATAATAAGTAAAGTAAAAGTAAATAATAAAAGGGTCTTACTTATTAAAAAAGATTTTCTAGCTATACTTATTATAGTTAATATATTTTACTATAAAGGTAAGTACCTTAGGGTATAAGGTACTACTAGATTAACTTATTATAAAGTTAATTATTAAGGTTAATTAGTAGTAATTACTATATAACTTTTATAATAGTAATTAAGTAGTAAGTTTCTTCTTAATATAACTTATACTTATAAGTTTAAATAGTACTAAGTTAGTTTTATATATATAAGGTAAATAAGAATAGATTTTTTAAAAAAGTAAATATAAAGATAAAGAAAAAAGTTAAATAAGGTAGTAATTATTACTACTTAAGTATCTCTTCTTAATAGTACTATAGTTAGTATAAAAAAGATTTTTACTTATTAAAAGGGTTCTAATAGTATAATAAACACTATAGTGTTTTTTATAAAGATAAAGTAGCCTTAATAATACTTAACTTAGTTAGTAGTCTATTAGGTTATAGTAGGCTAAGTAAACTCCTATAGTAGTAAGCCTTATTAATTACTAGTTATTAGTAATAATTAACTAACGTATATACATAGTGAGTGGCGTATTATAGTAAGTAGTATATATCTACCTACCTTTCTATCTTTTTAATAACTTAATTTAACTAGATTATATAAAATTAATTAAAAATATATATTACCTTATTCTTTATTAGTATCCTAAACTACCTTATAGGTTTATGCGTTATGTCTAGTCTTCTTGTAATTACTATATTGTTGTATAAGTGGTTTATTACTCTCTATATAACCCCCCTTTTAGGATATTTCCTTACCTCTAGCTTTAATAACGTCCTTTTCTCCTTGTAGTACCTCTACTTTAGCTATATTAAGTAATCCTCTAAGATATAGTTAGGTCTTTTTAGCCCTTTAGCGCTTACTAAGTACCTTTATCCTTGTATAAAGTTAATAGTTCTCTGCCTTAATAATAGTAAGTTAATATACTAACTTACTAATACCCTTTAACTATAAGTTAATTACTTTATATATTAGTGTTAGTAAACTTCCTTAATAGTCCTTAATCCTTTTTTTTAATAAGGTAGAGCTTTATATACCTTTAATTACTATTATTAGTGTCTTTAGGTCCTATAAGCCTAAGCTAGTTAAATATAAGTTAACTAGTGTTAGTGTCTTTAGCTTAAAATCTAGGTAAGAAATAATAACTTTAGGATTAAAAGGTATAAGACTAGCCTATTAGAAACCTGCTTATACGTTTATTTTACCTATTAAAGCAAAGAATACTGCTTTAAAGGCAGAAAAAAAGTTATCCTTAGTAATATATATAATTTATATCTATATTATTTTCTTAATTTCCTTGCTGTATAAGTGCTTTAAAGGGCTAAAATAGCTAATATTAAGAGGCTAAAGCTTATATAATAAATAGGGAGGTATATATAAAGTAATAATACCTTCTTTAGTACAGTAGTTATTAAATTTAGTTAATTTATAGCTATTATAGTTATCTAGGATTAGAAGGTAATAAGTACCCTTTGTATAAGACTTTATATACTAATTAAAGTGCTTTAGTTAATCTAGGCTAATCTTATTTATAGTTTATCTATTTTTACTTAGGTAAATACACTATATAGCTAGAAATTTACTATTAAAGTACTATAATAAAAGGTAATATTTACCTTTTATAATAATATATAAAGGTATTACCTAGCTATCTATATATACACCCTAAATAACAGAAACCTATTTATAATTACTAGGCTGCTTTATATAAGGCCTTCTACATTAGTTAGAAGTTATAATAACCTTTATATACAATAGTATTTTTATTAGGAACCTAGTCTTATTAAAATTATAGATATTATAATCCTATATCTTATACTTTATAATTATGTTTTATATAAGTGTAAATTAGCCTTATATAATTATAGGATCCTTAGCTAAGGCTCTCTAATAGTTAATTTAACGTTAAAATTATATTTTTAATTAAGGTTATTGTTATATAAAGTTCTCTGCCTATTAGGGTCTAATATATATCCTATTATATATATTAAGGAGTTAATTAGCTATATCTTGTATATCTTTTTGTTATAGAGGAAATCCTTAATTAATTAGGTTAATAACCTTTTTAAGAATTACCTTCTCTTTAGATATAGTTATCTTTATTAATTTTAAACACGTCTTAGCTTATGTAACTTTTCTAGCGCGTTAATAATAGAGTGTAGTTTTAGGCACATTATAGATAAAGGCTGCCTTTTGTATAGATAGATTTTAGTCTTTTTAAATAGCTATAATTACAAGGATAATTTAGCTTTCTTAAGAAGAGGATTCTATTATTGTATATAGAGAAAGGTTAATATAAGGATAAAGCTAGTAGAAATAAGGTAGACGTGCGCTACTTACTATAATGCACTACTTACTATGTATATACATTATTAATTAATATTAGTTTTTTATTAGTTAATTAATAAAGATCTTTATCTTATAATATTATAAAGGTTAAGAAAAAGTAGTTAAATTATAGTTATTAATAGTTAACTTAGTTAATAAGGTAAAGTAGGAGTATAAGTATAGTAGCACCCTTGCGTATAGGCAAAGGTAGGGAATTCTGCTGGTAGGCGGTGTGTCATGTGACCTACTGCCTCTGGCTGCATCACCTATATGCTAACAATGTCCCTCACCAGGTTCTTCCGGATATCTGTTCATGCTTAAAGTTGGGATTCGACCAGTACTGCGATGTAAAACCGGTTGTAGTCCGGTGCTTCCAGAAAATTTGCTCTGGCACCCCCCTTGCATCTGAAATCTCACTGTAAACAAGATGTGCACCTTTAACAAAGCCCCAGTCATGCTTGAAATGACCCGAATGACGGAGAATTGAAGGAGGCACATCATTCGGCCAGTGGCTGAGTAGATTCTCTCACACCTTTTGCCACACATCCCATTTCTTGGGCCTTGAAGAATTCATAAATGGCATATGAATTGGCTGAATTTTTGTTTCTTCTTCTTCTTTTTCTTCTTTTTCTTTCGGGTTGCCGAAGCAAAGCACGGTAGGTGGATTGTCGTCCCGCAGTCGGAAGTCTGAGCTAAACCGGTTTCTGACTCCCTTTATCTCAGGCCCAGGTTCATGAATCATAACATCCCAAAAGATCACCTTCATATTCTGGAAATTCGCTGTTGTGAAGGCTTGCCTACTCCAGAATGTAGTTGAATATTTGAGCTCGAAGAAAGCGATACTTATAATAATAGCCACAAGTATCTGTTCTAGCATTTGGTGTATGTGTCGAGGCTCCCGAAGTACATCGTTTGTAGGTGGACTGTCCGCCTCGCAAGGACTTTGGGGAGATGTCGTTGGCTGCATGCTATTAAGAGTGCGATGAAAATGATCAAAGTTGGCAACCTGGAAATTAGAGCAGACAACGGGAGTCTCTAGTGGCCATAGACTCTTCTTAAGTATCTGATGGCTACCTAAAGGTAATCTCATTCCGGCTCCTGATGTTCCAGACTTGCCGAGATTTTCACATGACGTGATACTATATCTACTAGAAGAGATTCAATGAGAATTCTGAAGTGTCGTTCATATCCACTAGCAGTTCTGAACAGTACACCACCTTTATGCAAGCCGTCTCTGATAGTGTGTTTGCAGTGGCGGTGTAGGTCTGCTGGCATCCAATGGTGAAATGACAGCTGGAACACACTTCCAAGACATCCAAATTTGAGACAACCAATGAAAGTTGCATTAAATTATGCTCTCCAGACTCGGCCACACCGCATTTCATACGGCCACCAATGTGTGGTGGTTCAATGTAACAATGATACCACCCCAATCAAGCTCAATTCAAAAAGGCATGCCATCATGAACTTTGCGTGGCTCGACGAGAATAATGCTGTCAATTATTCTGACAGTTTGGAACAGTGGTACGTTACCATACAGCCTGTCTATAGACAGCTTGAAGTTGGGCCGAGTGGCTGGCAACATAACATCTGCCCACTGTCACCAGTGTCCGCCTGCCAGCGCCTATTGACTTAACTACCCTACTTATGCACCACTCCCACATTTGCATCATCATCATGACCATCATCACCACCACTATCACCGCCTATTTCACTAGCTCTGCTGCCCCCCCATATGCCACTTTCGGCCTCGCTGGAATAATCCAGGTGCGCTGGATTCATCCGGACTACCCATTTCTCCGATATCCGTACTTTGCGCCCGCTGGATATCCCACATAGTGGCGAAGGTGCTGTTAGGTGATAGGCGGACCTTTTCCCTCTTGCGTTGCCGCTGGCTTTCCAGTTGTCCCTCTAGCTGGCGGACCTTTTGCTCTAGAAGCAAGCACCTCCACTTTGTGCTTGCTAACCCATGATCCTGGGATCAGACGCCCAAGTACTATTAGTCAGTCTGCAGGCGTGAGATCAAACTGAGTTGTGCAATTAATCCACCCATACTGGATGCGCACATGGGGTATTTGTTTTGTTTTGTTTTGCGTGGATAGTTCCCTTGCTTGTGGACAAAAAAGATCGTGGTAGATAGACCGGTTCCATCGCCGGAGCGGGAACCGAGGACATATAGGCCGAGTCGTGGAGTTCTGGCACAGCACACACCCGCACACGGTAGTACGGACAGGTCACAGGAAGTAGTCCTGGTATTATTGTAACATGGCAATTTCACGTGCCTGTACAATGTCGTGGGCTGTGGAGAAGACCAAGTCCTTGTAATAGATTTGTCAACATAATACTGCGATGTCGTGGGCGTTAAGGTTCCATAATGGAAGGCATAACTTCAGCGTATATGGAACGGCATGAGGGTGCTCTATGCACATATCTCAGAGTGTCGATTCTTCGAACATGGGGAGGGTACATGTAAGCGTGGGCTAATCATCCGAACCGCCAAACGATGGAGATAGCTTATGGGCGAGATAAAAGCGTGTCCAATAAGCAGAGGGGATATCATAAGATGAGCTATTTAAACCAATCCTCGAGCTGTCTTGGCTCAAGCTTCATTTAGGCTCAATTCGTTTGTGTCTCGATTGCCGCTCTGCTGGTTGCTATAAGATTCAACTACCACCCATGAAGCCCTTGCGCCAAGGGCACTAGAAAGAGTTAAGCCCTCCCCCTCACTGCATAGTGTGTCTCTATTAAATCAAGCTTTCTCCAAACTTCAAAGTTGAAGCATCATGGACAGAGGGCATAGACTTGGGGCAAACCGACCCCCCAATTAATCAACATGAAACTGTCAACCCTACTTTTTGAGATCTTGACGTTCGACAGAGGCCGTCCTTGAGATGCTGTCATCTGAACCCGGCGGAGACTGAGGAATATGAATGTCCAGCAATACTGGCATCCCTGACGACGATTCAACATGCACGTGGCTGTTCAGAGCCAAGCTTTCCGCGGGATCACCATGGCCCAAGATTTCCCAAGCCGTATGGTGACCCCCCGGGCATCCCTAATGCGGCTAACGTCCAGGTACAGGCGGCTCGGCGCCAATGCTGTGGCCGGCCTCCAAGCAATATCCCCGCCGTCGATGCCCCAGCCTCTTTGTTTCTCACACAGCACGAAAAAGTAATTTCAGAGTCTCCGAGTTGCTCGGCACGGAGAAACAGAGATCGTCCCGGGACCCTTGGAGCCATGTCAAAATGAGGGACAGACGCGTTCCACGTAACCCTTGGACCTTGCTCTACCTGTGTCAGTGAAAAGGGCCAAGCTTCGGAATCAGGGCCTACGTCCCATCTTGGCAGGAAGGCCAGTGTTGTATAAGAAGAGGGGAAAGTGTCTACATCAGATGAGTATCGTGGGACGACAGCACCTCATTACAAAACATCCACGGGTTAGAAATTCCTCCCCATAGCCGACTCTCTATTGTCTCCAGCCCTCTTTTATAATGGTCGTCGCTCAACTCCTTCTCGCTGCGGCTCTCGCGCCGGCCGCTCTGGCAAGCCCTCTCAAGTCCCGCGCTGTGGCATCCTACAACGGGAATCCACTGGCAGACAGGCAAATGTTTCCCAACCCCTTTTACGCCGATGAGATCAAGAACCTGGCCATCCCGAAGCTGAGCGGACAGCTCGCGGAGAAGGCCGCCAAGGTCGCCGAAGTCCCCTCCTTCGCGTGGCTGTAAGTGTTTCGACTGGAGCCGAGGCGTCACAAGGAACGTCACACTAACAAACCCTAGTGACACCCGTGAAAAGATTAGCCTGATGAACAGCACTCTGGCGCAGATCCGCAAGCTTAACCAGGAGGGCGCCAACCCGCCGTTCGCCGGCACCTACGTCATCTACAACTTTCCGGACCGTGACTGCTCGGCAAAGTCATCGGCCGGTGAGCTTGTGATCGCCGAAGATGGCCTCAGCAAGTACGAGAAAGAGTACATCGACCCCATCGCCGCGCTTGCCAAAGAGTACTCGGATGTTCGCCAGGTCTTTATCTTTGGTGAGAAGCGGAACCTAGCGTGTAATGGCAATTCACGGGGCACTGACCAGGAGTACAGAGCCCGATGGTCTTGCGAATCTCGTCACAGTGAGTTCCTCGACGGCCTTCCGCCCCCGGACATGATGATATACTGACGAATAGTAGAACATGGGCGTTGCCAAATGCGCCGGTGCTGCTGACACGTACAAGACGGCTACCGACTACGCCTTCAAGACTCTCAACCTCGACAACGTCGCCATCTATGCCGACGCTGGCCACGCAGGTTGGCTTGGCTGGGACGGTATTTCAAAAGCTCAAAACCGCTAATACAACTTGTCTTTGGTTGGCTGACTTGGAATCATACAGCCAATCTGCAGCCGACGGCGGAGCTGTTCGGTCAGGTATTCAAGAAGGCTGGGTCGCCCAAGGCGGTCCGCGGCCTCGTTACTAACGTGTCCAACTACAACGGTTGGAACCTGACCACGGCGCCGTCGTACACGTCGGGCAACAAGCAGTGGGACGAGTCCAAGTACCACGCCGCGCTGACGCCGTTCCTAAAGACGGCCGGATACCCGGCCAACTACCTCGTCGACCAGGGCCGCAGCGGCAAGCAGCCGACGGGGCAGCAGCAGTGGGGCGACTGGTGCAACGTCAAGGGCGCCGGCTTCGGTGCTCGTCCGACGGCCGAGACCGGCATCGACACGCTGGACGCGATCGTCTGGGTCAAGCCGGGTGGTGAAGCCGACGGGACCAGCAACTCGACTGCGACGCGCTACGACGAGAAATGCAGCTCAGCGTCTTCCGTCATCCCAGCCCCGGAAGCTGGGGCTTGGTTCCAGGAGTACTTTGTGCAGCTCCTACAGAACGCTAACCCTGCCTTCTAGATGCCCGTTTGGGAACCTGCTAGTGGTGGGTGCATTTGCACACTTTTATCTTCTCGGTATATGAATAGGGAATAGGAAGTCAATGAATCAGTTTGCGAAACAAAAGTCGTCTTGTTATGTGTCACGCAAATGACGACGCCGTTAATTGCGGGCAGCACAACTAACGCCTTATATCACCCCGTGACATTATGTTTATCGAAATTCGCGGGGAGACGATCGCAGTTTTATGATATCTAGCTTTCCATCGATAACTTGATGACGCGATAGCCATCCGACACTGTGCCAGAAACCTCGATTAACAAAGATAGCCACGAAACCTCAACTATTGAAGTATAGCCTCGAAACCTCATCTAGTATTCATCGCGGCGTCATGATATATTTCCTCTAAGGGAAAACCCTTTCTAATACCAGCAGCTTCAGTCGTCACCGAGACTGCGACCCACGGCTTCGCTGGCGGCCCCGCATGCCCCGGCAAAGCGTCTGCGAACTCGTCCTGTTTGGGGGTGGCACCGCTCCGGTCCGAGCTTCCACGATGACTTCCACCAATCGGCGTTGGATCATGAATTGGCAGAATATGGAGGACTCAATGTACTGCGAACGCACCGTGACGGAGTTTCTGTGATGAGCGAGCCACCTTAGTGCTGGACTCACGAATCCTATTCGTCGAATCCGAGGCAATATATACGCGCCTTTCAACATTGAAATCATTGACCGTAGTCGTTCCCGTCTCTTCTTCAGTGTTTCCTACCCGGTCTCAGCTGTTCGTTAGCTTTGACCTCGTCTTGTATGCTCTTTTTATGTTGCACATATTCTGCTGTCGCATGAATAGACCATATCTTGCCATAATGCAGTTCTCCGCCCAAGCACTTTCTCTAGCAGCCGGCCTCTCCCTGTCGGCTGCTAGTCCCGCCCCGTACGCCTCCCCGAGGCAGATCACTCCCAAAAATCTGGTGGTCTTGTAAGTCGTCCTGTTTCTCCGCGTCACCATCGTCCGTCTGACTCGAGTCAATCTCGCCGTAGCGGAGACTCCTATTCCACCGTTGGCTTCTGGCCCGGCGGGGCTCTCCCCGCCGCCGGCAACCCACTCGGCAACCCCTCCCTGCCGGGCCAAACCACCTCCAGTGGCCTCAACTGGGTCGGCCACCTCACCAGTACCCTCAACACCTCGTTGGTTTTGACCTATGACTTTGCCGTCACCGGCGCCACCACCGACAAGCAAATCGTTGACACGTACGCGCAGTACTGCGTCGACGACCAGGTCGGCCAATACGCCCAGTACGTCTCTAGCAAGATCAACAAAGACAACACCCTTGTAGCTGTCTGGATAGGCATCAACGACGTTGGTGAGCCCTTCTGGGACAGGCAGGCCGCTCCCGTCGCCAAGACCATGGATCGATACTTCCAGCTCTTGCAGACGCTCGTCAACGATGGTCTGAAGAACTTTGTCTTGCTTACCGTTCCTCGTGAGTTCTGTTCAGCCATGCTGAAGTATTGGGACAAACCGCTTACACGGCGCATCCAGCCTTCTCTGACCAGATCCCCGCCATGATCGGCCAGCCCAGGGCCGACCTGGCCCGTCTGCGCTCAGACATCGCATCTTACAACCAGGCCCTGAAAGACCGTATCGCCGCTTTCAAGTCATCTAATAACGGTATTAAGGGCCTTGTCTTCGACACCAAGCCCTCTTTTGATCTCGTCGTCAATAACTTCGCCGAGTACGGCGCCAGGGATGCGACCTGCTACGGTTCAAGGGACTGCTTGTGGGCCGACAACTACCACGCTGGCCTGGCCATTCACAAGCTTCTTGCAGAGAACCTGGTCAAGGCCGTTGCGGCAAACTTTGAGTTCTAACTGAGTGATGGTGAGCAGACCGCCACAATACCGTATCTCAATCATCAGCAAGACATAAGCCTCATCTATTTGTACCGTTTTGCATGTTCTCAGCTGCGCCTCTGCAAACAAACTTGATGACACATCTTTCATGTAGCTAATTAATTCTTTGAGTAATACCAAAGCTCATTTTCTCCTTAGTATCAATCGGGACACTGCATGAGTTAGAAAGGACGTTCCTTAATCATCAGCTTTAAAGTCTAGAGAATGTACCATTAAGTTCAGAACTCTAGACTACGTTGCAACATGTAACATGCTGTACACATGCGCCGCCCGCTGCCTTGATCGAGTTGAAGAAACCCCTGCTAATCGTCCCCCTATTGACTATTGTTATCTACGGTGCAACACATACTGCTTGTCCTACCCGCAGCGCCCGGCTCGTATGCGCTCTATTTGATGGCACACTTACTTATGGCACATCACGAGATTGGCTACCAGACCGGTTTGAGATTGTCACGCTGCCTCTGCCGCAATCCTTCTCTGACGATGAACGCGTGGACGCTTGCATCCGCCACCATGAGAAGGAAATCCAGAGCCGCCTGCCGATTGCCGATAAGGCGAAGGCAACCTCTCGGTTTCTACCTGAGCGCATCGTGGATCGTCGTTATGCGCGGAGAATCCTCGTTCTCAACCGCTTTGAGGCCAATGAAGATAGTAATAACGATGGCAAGGTGGCCCCTTGGGAGGAGGCGCTTTACATCTAAAAGACGTGGAATGGAGGCAAGATGCACCCTGATGCGAATCGCTTCGGTAGCTATCTTGACGTCGAATGGCAACGGCGCAAGAAGCATGACTTTGTCGGTCTTGGCCCGGAGTATACACCTCGCGATGTGTCATTCCACAGTTGTGGGGTTGAACAGTTCGGAAGCACACTTTTCGAGATGTTTCTCCCAGCTGCGCCTTTCTACAATCATTTCGTGCCCGATGGTGTACTCAATCGACAGCTTCTGGATACTAGGAGAAGTCTGGCTGATGTTGATGCTCTTACTATTTGACTACTAGCTTTATGTCTCAAGAAAAGTAAAGAATAGTAATACAATAAATGCATAGTCTTTTGAGATCCGTAGCCGAAAGCTTTGCCTATAAGTACTGATTAATCCCCCGGACCCAGGTTGTGAACCTGTAGGCCATTCGTCAGTAAAGTCCTGGTGTTTCTAAAGCTTTTGGAACGGTTGTAACAGAGCTCTCAAGGCAGATATTAGCTGTAGGTGGTCTTTAGGTGGCAGCTTTTAACGCGACGCTGAATAATAGTAAGGTGCTTACTTAAAAGTAATCTTAGGCACTAATAGGCTTTCTATACTTACGGCTTGGAATGCACTGCTAGATTGCTGCCAGCATATATTTTGATTAATTCAGATGGCTACCAGTAGCAATAAACCACCACACTAAGCTTACCTGTTGCGATGTTAACCATCTCCAATAACTATTGGAGTGGTTAACAGTTACCCCTAATATCTATTAATTACTACTAATACGTACAGTTAACTGTATTACCTACCAAGTGAGTCTAACAGTCCTATTCTTTTTGTCTTGAAGCTTGTATAAATATTGAACAAGTGAAAATAAGCCATAACTAGAATACAAATGTAAATAGAAAGCTAATAAACCCGGCAATGTGTTTGAACTATATATCTAGTTTAAGTAGAAAGGCTATACTTTATCTCTAGGCCTGGTAAGAAGTAGCGAAGAGTTGGACTTGTCTCTAAGGAGACGAAATCAAGACAGAATTATCTAAGTAGAGAACGCTCTTTTCTATATGTTGTATCCTAAGAATCTAGCTAATTAGATGAATAATAACACTAACTTACCTAGTTAGCAACTTAGAATGCCGCTCCTATTAAGAGACTCGATGCTCCAAGCCACCATATGAAAGTTCCATCCCCACAAGAGATAGCCTAATGAATGTTATCCATCCGTTGGGCCAAGTAACACCGAAACGTGACTGTAATAGCAAATGAAGGTGATAGCAACGAGGAATGAGCTTAGTATGGGGACCACCCACTCATCCACCCGCTTGACAACAAAAAAACCAATTAGCCAATGGGGAACCACTTGCTATCGTCATTAACTTTCATGGCCATGATAAACAAGGTCCACTCTCAAAATGAACATGCGGGGCCCCGGAATCGGCCACGAGGGCACTGGATCACAGTAAAAGTGCTGGTCACCCGCCACTCCAAAGTTCCGACGAAGTTCTCGGCTTCACGTACATCGAGTTATCGGGCTAAAGATGGTGAATATGCGGATATCTGCGTTTGCCAGCGCTGTTCTAAGCGCTTGTGCCGGTGCTCAACAACTCGGCGTGGTTCAAGACACAACGCTGTCGTTGTCATACGCCAACGTAACTTCGCTTCTCGACATGATCGTGGCCCGCGGATACATCAACGTCGGCACAACGGGTGACTATAAGCCGTTCACATATCTCGTTACCAACCAGACAACTCTGCCAAACGCCACCGCGATCAACACGACTTACATCGGTGTGGATATCGACGCGGCTCAGTCCCTCTCCAACGCTCTCGGACTCCCGAATCCCCCACGTCTGGTAGCAACGAAATGGGCGAACATTACTAGCGATCTCACGGCGGGGAAATTCGATATCGCCATGGGTGGCATCAGTATGACCCTCGCGCGAGCTAGAACGGCATTCTTCTCGACCGCTATTCAGAAGGTGGGCAAGACGGCATGCATTCGCTGCGCCGACACGTCAAAGTACACCGACCTCGAGTCCCTGGATCAACCGGGCGTCAAAGTTGCCGTCAACACCGGCGGTACCAACGAGGCCTTCGACCGCGCCAACCTCAAGTCTGCGACTGTCGTCTTGGTGGAAGACAACAACGCCGTTTACCAGGCGGTCTTGGATGACACGGCCGATGCCATGATCTCTGATCTCATCGAAGTCGAGCTGCAAGTGAAGCTGCATGAGGGCGAACTCTGCATCGTCAACCCGGATACGCCGTTCAACTTTGAGGAGTTGGGATACGCCGTTCCTAGAGATATCGTCTGGAAGCAGTTCGTTGACTCCTGGGTACATGTACAGCTTGGCAGCGGAGCCTGGAACCAAACGCTCGAAAAGTGGTTGGATTACAAATGGCCGAGTATGTAACTCTAAAGACCTCGATTCCGAGCTTGTATCGATTGGTAATCATAATGTACGAATCCGCTACTAGGATTCTCACGTGATACCACTCTCGGTTTACCAGGCGAGAGGACATAAACACAATATAGATGTGTAATGGTCATTTGCATAGATTTACTAAGTTATTGACCCATAAATGATTCGCACCAATTCAAAGCTTTGCTAATACCTTTCCATGTTCAATCTGCTTTTTGAAGAGCCTTACAGCATGTGCCGCCATCCCCCTGGAGACTCGTTAGCACAATCGTCGTACGCTCGGAGTACAGTTATAGTTGCAGCTCACCAAGATGCCTGATAGCCTGCTCCAGATGCTCCATAGTTGTGGATCACCAGACCATGACCACTCTTCTCAGCTTCAAGTCTCGGGCCGCCCTTGCGGTTAGGTCGCAGTCCCACGCCGTGCTTGATGATCTTCAAATCCTCAGGTCGACCCAGCTCAGGAGCAAGAGCACAGCACCTCTCGAGGATGGTCTTTGCCAACTCTGGGTCAACTTCTTTATCCCAACTTCCGTCCTGGCGACACCCGCCGAGCACGATGCCTCCAGCAAGCGGTCTTTGGAAGATGTAGGTGGTGTTGTTGTCTACCCGGTGGGGCGAGCGGAAGTACATCCTCTTGAGAGGCTGAATGGGTTGTTCAACGAGGACCGTCTGACCTCGAGTAGGATACATTGACTTGTCTTCGACACCACCAAGGAAGTATGATCCCAACCCGGTGCAATTGAAAACGGCCGTCACGTCTGGTGAAATCCGCGCATCTTTGACGTGCCTAATCCGACGTCGCAGCAGTCCTATGTTGCTTTGTCTACATTTCTCCAGAAGCCTGTGGTTGTGAGCTCGGGTACATAAGGTTTGGATAGAGGATGGGTGCTCACCACTGTAAGTAGATCTGAGTGTTGATCACAAAGGTAGAGGGCATCTCAAGCCCAAAGATGGCCCCTTGCGGTAACTCGTCCTTGCTCAATGGCACAACACCGCCAACTAAATCATTATACCAAAGCTTTCCCGTCTCCTGGCTAAGGATCCCGGCATCTTCAATTTTTGAATCAAAGATCATCCTCAGTGGTGAGGTCTTAATCCCCGCTTCGGGACTGGCGTGTGCAATCTCCTTGAACCGGTTGAAGGTCACGCGGTCAAACGACTCGAGGAGCCCATTGTCGTTCGCGGAAGAACACCAATTAGCTCCTGCCCATGGTGAACAGTAGTCGATGTGGTAGTCACCGGGGAAATGCTCTGCCAAGATGGTAATCAGACTTTCCGAGTACTCGGCCCTAAGTGTCAGTGCGGTGCTTAGGCCAATGACACCGGCGCCGAGGACGACGAAGTGGTACGACGAATCCTTTGAGACAGGCATGGCAAATATGTTTGGTCGTTACTCGAGATAGAATACCAAGAAGAGAAGAATTATAAAATAGAAAAAAAAAAAAAGGCAGTGATCAGCCCACTGTGATAGGGCGGTGTTTTTGGCGTAAGCCGCTCCGGTCACGCCAGGGTGCTACTGGCTTCAGTTGGCCTGGTGGTTAGTAATGGTCCGAACTCGGCGTTTTGGGGGGAAGCAACACCGGGACATGGGTCCACATCCGGCCTGTGTATGATGGTTCAGACAAGACTTATGGGCTAATAAGTACATCGATGATGTTAATCGACAATCGATAACCGTCGTCACCAGTGGTCGCCCCAATGAGAATCAGTTGGATTTATTATAACAATAATCTGTTCAATTTGTTTATCCAATATTACCTTGCTATCAAGATTTGCTCAATCCTATACTTGATCGCTTTTGAAGTTTCCCAACACTCGACGTCGGCTCGCATCAGCTATGGTAAATCACACAAAGGATTTCAATATCAATCTGATGGTTGAAGTAGAGCGCCTTTCACAACGCCGCGGATCTTGTCGACCGTAGATGAGTTATACATGACGACCAACGGCTAGGTTTTCTTGCCTGCCTTCTCTTGCCCTGTTGATTTGCTGGACTGCATCCCTTCGAGGTTTGCACTTTTCTTTTGCTGAGACTCCATCGATGGCATCGAGCTGGCATCTCCGCTGTGTCTCTGTGAAAGAGACAGATCACTGATTAGCCTTATAGTGGTGACGAGAGCATGGTGTACATACTCGCTCTTCCTCGACCTCAGCATCGTGGATAAAGTCATGTCCCGCCTCGACGGCATCATCTGACAGACCATGCTGCTTCAAGCCGTGATCTTTTCTGTTAGACATGTTGACGGGGCTGTGTATCTATGCTCTTTCCTAGACCGTTTTCAGGAACTTCGAAGCAATCGATGAGATTCGCAGCGCATGAGGACAGTGTGGTGATCGGGCAGTGTCTCGATCATACATATACTGCACAAGCAACCAAATGAGGGGTCTAGAGTTACGCAAGAAAAGTATCACCAACACCATCCGCAAGAGCCCAGTGAACAACCCCGCAACAATGATGGTCTTGCAACCAGTCAGGGCTTTCTGACAAGGATGAGTGACCATTATTGATTGCCATTCACTACATCAAAGAGCGGGGTTGGAAGTATCGAGATGGATCCCAGACTGGGCTAGAATTCTAGAATTACCGATCGATTATTACTCGTCCGGGAGCTTCAGCCGAGTGAAGGCATGGTAAACGAGGAGGGAAAATCAGCCTATGACGCGTCGTTTAGGGACGGAATGAGATGGAATTCCCAGCTGGAGTGTACCGACCTATAAGATACGTGTTTACGCAAATATTGCGGATTTCATTACAGTCTCATTGATTGGAACTTAATCATTGCTTGCATGATTGTATATCCTTCCGTAGAACACGGTGATTACCTAACTGACAACGTTGCAAAGCCAAATCAGTCTTTTTCATTTCTGTATCATTGCATTCATCATGGTCTAGAGCCATATGATTCAGAACGTCATAAAGACATGACTCGATTATTCATTATAATTAGCATAGCCGCTACTTGAAATGCCAAAGACATGAGCCATTTCCCTTTGAACTGAGAAGTAGCGACACTCGTGCCACTCGATACACTCTTATCGGCACTTGCAACTTGAAATCTGGATCTGTTCGGGTCATTCCCGATAGGGTTGTTGATCCAATCTTTCGGAATCTGTGTAATGAAATCGTACCAGTAATCCCCCATGATGCGGTAGCCTCCGTCTGTCGGATGGACGCAATCGGCCCGGAGGATGGCGTCGCCCAGAGAAGCAAAATCCACAGCCAGAACGTGGTGGCCGGCGTTCCTTCGCTCATCGACGACGCTCGGAATGAGCTTCTGGAACTGGGTCGTTGCCGGCTCTTGGTTCGCAAGGCAGGTGTTGATAATTTGGGCCACGAGGATGGTGGCGTCAGGGCAGGCGGCGATCATCTGGTCTACGAGGCCTCCCAGTCGGTCGGCGGCGCCGGCCGGATCGTTGCCTTCTACAGAGATGATACGATTCCGGTTCATGTCATTGGTGCCGGCATGGAGGAGAATGATGTTAGGCCGCTGTGCTAGTGAAGGCCCGACATTGTCTGCGATATACTGAATCGTTTTGCCAGGCCAAGCCGCCTCCTTGAGTGTCAGAAAAAATGCACAGCAAAAGGCTGGTTTTCGTCGCACGACTTACATAGTAACCGTCGGTCATGTTGCCAGAGTGGAGTGTTCCGGCAAAAACGACGTCGTTGGCTACTGAATCGTCAGGTCTGGTTGCCAATGGCCGAGTTGTACATCCAAAATGTCGTCGTGCATGCGTGCTTGACTTACCAAGAAGGTCCTCGGCGAGCTGCAGTCTATAACCGTTCCCATCACTGCTTTCAAAACCATAGGTGATGGAGTCACCGACGGGGAGAATCCGCAACTTAACCCCGTCCTTGATGACTTGCCCAGGGGGCGTCGACTTATACTCAAGAACATCGCCCGCAGCGACTGTGAACGGGGCGAAGAAGGCGGCACAGGCCACGGAGAATCGCATACTAAAGACCAGCGGATGGTATACACAGGCGAAGAACCATCACGGGAAACCCGATCAAGAATCAGGAGCCAAGAAAGTGTGGGAACTAAGCGCTTCAAATAGCGCAGGTTGGTGTGGTCACATAGTGGAAACTGAGTGACAAACAAGGCCATGAACGCATGCCTCGGGCACGACTTACGTCCAAACCAACAGATAATTTCCATGTTCAATGCCCGGCAAACCCTCTCCACCAACGCACGAGTTGGTACGCTAGTTTAGCCCCCAAGTCGCATTGAACACTGAGTGACCGAAGGCCCCGTTCTTGACTCCACTGGTAAGTGAGACCATACCCGTCTCAGTCGATTCACTCATCTTCGAAGCAAACCGCCAAGGTCCGGTGTGTTTTGTCCCCTCAAGAGTCATTAGCGTAGGCAAGAAAAACTTTAAGAGTTGTTGGATGCGCTGAGTTTCCCTTTTGTTTCTTTTTCTTTTTTCCATGATTTCCCCCCCCCCCTTTTTTCCATGACGGCTTGTCTCCGTCCTTGAATCGTTCCACCTGCAGGTTGCAGGCTTCTTTGCCACGGTGTGCTGGACTGGCTGCTAATTGCCAGGCGCGTGGCTGTCGGCAGTTTGCCAAGGTGTGTAGCTAAGGTGCCGATGCGGCACAGAATGCCTAGGCTACAAACAGACTCCTATCGCCTTTCCCCTCTTTCGGGGGTAAAACGGCGGCGTTGTCAGGTTAGCCGGCCAAAGAGGAGAAGACGGTTAAGACGGATGAGGAGTCAGCTAGGCCCCCCCTTGTCGCAAGACTAGCTGTTTGTCTTCGGCATGAATGATCTCTTCCGGGCCGCTCCATTGTGCACTAAACGCAAACGCCGTCGTCCTATTGGCTTAAAATAGTTGAGGCGGCGTATGGATGGCAATTAAGAATCGCCCATGCTGAAGGATGGTCCCAGTTAATAATGCCCATACCCCTATTTCGTTCAAAGCTTTTATTTTCTCTCTCCTTCTAATAAGACTGTTACCATGCAATCGTTAAACCAAGGGAGCATTAATCTCGATGGGCAGTACCATGAACGCGAACACTCTACTAGGAGAAAGGGGCATACTGGGGCTCATCGAGGCGTGTGTAAAATCCGAACGACAAGCTCAAAGATGATGTGCAACACCAATGACAATGACTTCGTCATCTAACGCCGCTCTGGGTCCCAATGCTTTAGCTCATCCCACAGCCGCCACAAATCCGATCTACTGTGATTAGTCGAGTGAATCTGACGTCGGAGGTGCCTGGAGATTACCACACCGGCAGCGTTGGGTTGCCCATAAATGCCGATGTCAGTTCCTTGCTCTCGAGGCAACTCATTGAATCGACTTCGTTCGCATGGGCACCATGCATGCCCAACTGATCGTATATCTTCGGCTGAAAACCATCCGCAGTATGAACATAACTTTATTTGGTATTAGTTTGCCTCCCTCTTCGTGTCGAAGCTTGACTATCAGTTACCTCATTGCTCACTAAAAGCCGCATATTGCCCCATGCGTCTCCATGGCGGCGATTCATTCAGGGCATCAAGGACTTCCCTGACAATGCACTTGATGAGATATCCAAGCTCACTAGCAAAGTTTAAAAAGGCTCGAGTTTCATTTCTATGTAGTACAACGGTATCCCTTAAGTGCCAGCTCATTTTTCAGCGCACGAATGCGAGGAGGTCCGTCATAAAATGTGGCTCCGTCATCATCCGCTGGCGTATTGGCAAGAAGAAGGGAGGAATATTCCCTTGACAACTTCAAAGCTCGTCAGGCAGTTCTTTCTTCGGGATCCAACCGACGAGTAGTCGACTGACAGGCGCCTGGGCCCCTTTGGGATACCAGTCTGCATGGGAAGAAAACACTGGCGGGTAACAGTCATCATTCTGTGCAAGCAGTGAGAGCTAGGTAGAGATGGAAAGAGATGGGCGACCATAGAGGCCTCTGTATTCGCTATAAAACATACAGAAGCAGGTTTCCTTGAAGGTTGACGAAACCAAAAACTTTGCGCCTCATGATGCCATCAAATAACCATGGTTAACGCTCGCAGCAGCTCAGAAACTCGCTGGTATGGCAATGTCAGACTACTTGCTCCAACATACCTGTCAACAGAATTGAAAAACTGTTACTCGCCTCTACTAAACGTCTCAAGATCTTTGAAGAGGCTATTCTCTTGCATCACAAACTCCGCCGGGACACCGTGCTGAACGACCCGTATCGATTCCATATATTAACTAGCACTTTGCAGAATCCCATAACCATATTATAAGACGATCAGTCACCATCAGTATAACATCGGCTTCACACACGCGCCGAGAGATCGTCTGTAACTCTATCCACGTGTTCTTGTCGACACCACTTCTCAGTTCATGAAGTATCAGCAATCCACCAGCCGAAGTATGCAGCATTGAA